TAAACGAAATTTGTAATTTGTTGGACTCACTTTCAGAATTTAAAGATTTGACAAACTTGGAACTGCTGGACCTGAGTGCAAACAAATTTAATGGCTCCATACCAGTACGAGGTACCACAAAATTTTTGTCCATAGATGCTTGCCTTTCTTTTCTAGTTGGAAATACAGCTCCATGTAACATTTTTATTGGTTTGTGTCATCCTTGAGATCATCATGTGTTTTAGGTAAAGGTGTTTACCTACTGTGTGGTTTTTTCTTCTGGCAGTGTTACCTGCTTTGAGGAATCTGAAAGCTTTGGATATAAGTGAAAATGAATTTTCTGGCCCAATTGATTTGCAAGGCAAGTTTCGTAAAATATTTCACTTTTTGATAAAGAACTGTGATGAATTCTCTAAAATATTTCACTTTTTGGTCATTGTAGGGATTTGCAAGCTGGAGAATCTGCAAGAGCTCGATATGAGTGTAAAAAAACTTGTCGGTCAGTTTCCCTTATGTATAACTAGCATGAGTAGACTTCGAGTTCTTGATCTCTCATTGAACCAATTGACTGGGGAGGTACCATCTGCTCTTGGTAGCCTTATAATTCCATTGAGTACTTATCGCTGTTTGATAATAGCTTCAAAGGCTTCTTCTCATTGAGTTCAATCGCCAACCTCTCAGAGCTTAGGGTGTTCAAGCTTTCTTCAAAATCCAACTCGCTTCAAGTAGTGTTTGAAAGTTATTGGAAGCCAAACTTTCAGTTGAGTGTTATTTCACTACGATGTTGCAACTTGGAGAAAGTTCCTCATTTTCTCTCTGAAAATAAAATTTCTGGAAATATTCCTTCATGGTTGTTGGCTAACAATACAAAACTTGAAGCTTTGGTTCTACGGAATAATTCTTTTACGAGTTTTCGGCTACCAAGATCTTCTCATAGCCTGGTATATCTAGATGTGTCAGTTAATGAATTCAGTCATCTGGTTCCTGAGAACATTGGATGGATACTTCCTCATTTACGGTACATGAATCTTGCGAATAACGGTTTTCAAGGAAATTTGCCATCTTCCCTTGGTAACATGAAAAAGATCGAGTTTCTGGATATATCTCATAACAGTTTCAATGGGAATCTGCCAAGAAGTATTTTACAGGGTTGTTATTCAATGATAGTCTTGAAGCTGTCACATAACAAACTAAGTGGAGAGGTTTTCGCAGAATCAGCCAACTTAACAAATATAGATATATTGTGTATGGACAAGATTGGACAAGGTTTGGGAAACTTGAGATACTTTTTACTGCTTGACATTTCGAATAACAATCTTACAGGTACTATTCCAAGTTGGATTGGGGAAATTCCATTATATGCACTACTGCTTTCAGACAACTCGTTAGAAGGTGAAATACCTGTTTCCTTGTTCAACACATCAAATCTCCGGCTACTGAACCTGTCTGCAAATATGTTATCTGGGGGCATACCTACACACTCCAAATTCACATTTCATGCAGAGCTATTCTTGCAAGACAATAATTTATCAGGGGATATTCCAGACACATTGCTAGCGGATGTCGAAATACTCAATCTGAGAAATAATAGATTGTCTGGCAATATTCCAGAGTTCATCAACACCGAAAGCATTAAAATATTCTTCTCCTGCGGGGTAATGATCTAACAGGCCACATTGCTCACCAGTTGTGTAGCCTGAGCAACATCCACCTTTTGGATCTTTCAAACAACAAATTGAATGGTTCCATACCTTCATGTCTTAGCAATACATCATTTGGTTTGGGGAAAGAGGATATATCCTATTATGATTACGGAGTTACTAGTCATTCTCGCAATAATTACATCTCTATTTTTAGCCAGGATCCGAACTTCTTCTCCATAGACAAAGTTGGTATATATTTCAAATCTCTGCTTATTCTAGAAATGTTTGGTACAGATTATATGGCATCAACAGAGGCTAAAATTCAATTCGGAACTAAACACCGGTACGATGCCTACATGGGTGGAAATCTCAAATTATTGTTTGGAATAGATCTCTCCGACAATGAGCTGAGTGGTGAAATCCCCATAGAGCTTGGAGGTCTGTTGGAACTACAAGCTCTCAATCTTTCTCACAACATCTTATCAGGTCCAATACCAGAAAGCTTTTCGGATATAAAGAATATGGAAAGCCTTGATCTTTCCTTCAACAGACTACAAGGCCAGATTCCACCACAACTAACAGATCTCAGCAGCCTAGTTGTCTTCAATGTATCATATAACAACTTATCAGGAGTCGTTCCACAGGGAAAACAGTTTAACACTTTTGATACTCGAAGCTACTTAGGTAATCATCTTCTCTGTGGACAACCAACCAACAGAAGCTGCAACAACAACACTTTACAAGAACAGGATAATGAAGTGGAAGCTCATGAATCCTCAATAGACTTGGTTTCTTTCTACTGGAGTTTTGCTGCAGCCTATGTGACAATACTGCTTGGAATACTTGTATCTCTCTCTTTTGATTTTCCTTGGAACAGAGCTTGGTTCTACATCGTTGATGCTTTTATCCACAAGGTGAGGAATTTGTTGTGGTAAACCATTGTTAGTGATTAAATTCTTAAATTGTCCCATCTGTTTTTTTTTTCTTCACAAAACCTCCTGCTTTGTGTAACAAAACCATGCCATAACTCATGTTTGGTTCCTATGTACGTGGAAGAAATCAGAAATGTAATGTCTAAAAAATAAATTGTCGTAAAGTATTATTCTTCTCGTCTTGGTAAATTGGTAATGGAGCAGCAATGGAACAATAATAAATGAACAGAACAGCCAGCCTGTGAGTCAACTGTCAAAGCTGGGTTCCATGGGTCCTAGATAACAAGATCTTCGAATCGAATTCTTCCACGTGGCAAGATCTAACCAATGAGAATCTTATTTTCCATATGCTCTCCACACTCCCACCAAACAAATCCCAAGAATCAACCAAAAAAAACATTCACCTTCTCTTACGCGACTCTCGCCGGAAACAGATCGCTCCGCCGTGAGTTTGCCGTTATTCTCGGAAGCCATGGGCTCTCTTTTGCAGGTACGTAACCCAGTAGGAAGCTTAATCTGTTCTCTGAAAATCCAAAGTTCTTAACTTTTGGAATCGAAGCTAATTGATGGGTTTCTTTAGGGTTTTACTAAATCACTCGCCATGACTTTCCTCTCCGAGATTGGTGACAAAACGTTCTTCGCTGCAGCTGTAAGTGATCTTACTCATCTTCTTCCTCTTCAAAGCTCGAAGCTTTAGCAACATTCATAATTTGATATGAAAGTTTCTTGTTAGTGCTGAAATGGTTATGTTCTTTGATCCAAATCTGTTGACTTTTAATTTAGAGTATCACTTGAGCTAATTATTTATCTCCTTAAGCAGCTTCCATAGATGTTTTATTGTGTGCTAATATGTTAAATGTTATTTTTACTCTGTATCCAGATTTTGGCGATGCGTTATCCTAGGAGACTTGTATTGGCTGGTTGTTTATCGGCTTTGATTGTAAGTTTTTTTCTTTTGTCTTAATGCAATTGTTCAGTTCAATGAACTCTTCAAGATTTGAAAAAGTTTATGTCTTGCTTTTACTTTTAGGTCATGACTATATTATCTGCTACACTTGGTTGGGCTGCTCCAAATCTGGTAAGATATTGTGAAATGCTTGTGTTTGTTACCATAGAATCTCTAAGAAGTTGGGACTAGACAGACGCTGATTCGAAATACAATTTGCAGATCTCTCGTAAATGGACCCATCATATAACAACATTGTTGTTCTTTGGCTTCGGGTTATGGTCTTTATGGGACGGTTTTAAAGAAGGAGGGTAAGAGAATTTAGATGACTTGAGGAACAATAGTTATTTCCAAAAATGTTCAGGTAGCATTTTCTCATCCAAATCTGTTTTATATATAGCAGGGGTTCTGAAGAATTGGCAGAAGTTGAAGCAGAACTGGTTGGTACTTTTTCTCTTCTTGTAAATCTTTTTTTTTTCATGTTTAGAGACAATGCTTTTGGGGTTGACACTTGTTCAATGTACTAGGATTCTGATTTGAAGAAGACTAATGATCAATCGAAAAAAGACAGCAGTAAGGTATGGAACTAGATCTTAAAAGATTCAAGACTGCTTGAGGGTGCGTGCGCGGAAGGTTTTTATATTATATGTCTGATGTTGTAGATTGAAGATGAACAGAAAAAGCAGAAAAGACCATTCCTTACTGCATTCTTCTCTCCCATTTTTCTCAAGGTAATATATAAAATCTTTGCAGAATTTCTATTTAAAGAAGTAGTGGACTTGATTCACATTTTTCTCTCTCTTGAAGGCGTTTTCAATTAACTTCTTTGGTGAGTGGGGTGACAAAAGTCAGGTAATTTTCCTTCTACTTCATTCTGCTTGGTTCTACTTTAGCTAGTGCTTCACATGTTCTCATTGTAACTTACTCTATTTCTAGCTTGCGACTATTGGTTTGGCTGCAGATGAAAATCCACTTGGCGTGGTCCTTGGTGGAATTCTGTAAGTCTTCTACACAACGGTTTGTATCAAAGTGATAACTCTATTTCTACTGCTGACTAATCTCTCTGTTTGCACAGGGCACAAACATTGTGCACCACAGCTGCTGTGCTTGGTGGCAAGAGCTTAGCATCTCAAATATCTGAACGAATTGTAATGTTTTTTGATATTCCCTCTTTATTGAAGTAACATTCTACAGTTTTGATCAAATAGCTCTTATGTTGTTGCAGGTGGCTCTTTCCGGTGGAATGCTTTTCATTATTTTCGGCATCCAGTCGCTCCTTACTCCGGTTGATGCTTAATACATCTGTATGGTATCCCCTCAATGTCTTGAAACTGCAGGTTTCTTGGGTTTGAATGCTTTTTTGCCGAGATGAAACCGAAACACGTCACTCCCTTACAATTGCTTAGATACATTCACTTAGTGATTACAGAATCAGAAAGATTCATCTGTTACACCGTTTGAATTCAATAAAGTTTTGTTATTTGCATTATGAAAAACATAAACACTTACCAACAAATCTATGTAGGGCAAGGTTCACTGCATATAGTAAAACAGTCTGGTACCAAATTTCTGATATTATATACAATAAAAGGACAAATTTTTTTTGACTAAATAGAGAGACCTGGGAGGTGGGAAAATCTATACTGAGTTTAATTAGTATCAGCAGCCTCCACCATCAGGTTCGACGGAACTAAGAAGGCCGTTACCCCGCAGCTGCATACAGTGTTGCTCTGCATCGGCCTGAGCACAGACGATCACAACTGCCAAACCGTTGATGTGGGCTTCTTGCATAATGTTAACCGCATTGTCTACAGTCATGCCTGGTATTACCTTCATTAGCACCTGAACAACATATTCCCTCTTGTTGAAGTTGTCGTTGTGTAGTATCACCCTGTAAGGTGGAGCCATCTTCTTTGATTTCCTGAATTAAACCAAAGTAGAACCACAATGAGCATTTCTCGAACTGTTCAGCCTAATTCGTGATCAAAAACTATGTAAAAACCGAAATTGATCAGGCGGATTACAATACATTCTTCGAGAATATGTCTTCAATTAGAGCAGAAGAAAGCAAATGAATTTGGCATTTTGAAACTAAATTCAGATTGTTGTAGGCAATACCTCAAATCAAACTCGGATTCACGACCAGGAGTGGTTTTCTCTATAATCGGTTTGTCCAAGACACCACCTCCTTTACCTAATGCAGCGTATGTAGATAAGGTCATGAGAACACCACGATTCACACATGGTCCTTTCGAGACTAAATGTTTGTCCCCTGTACACATCAAGTAAGAGAGATATCCACTGTTATCAGAAGATATCCATGGAAACTAAATGGCAGGTGATGCAAAAACATGAAATCAGAGGAAAAAAGATCATAAACTCATTCCACATGTTTCTTCAAGATTCAAGTGTGTTGCTGCTGCAATTATAAACTTCCCTAACGCCTTAAGACTTAAGAGTTAACAAGAATCCAGGAAATATAGCTGGAAACCAAATCACAACTAGAAAAGCCACAAAGATTAAAAAGGGTCTGAATCTTTTTAGAAAGAGCAAAACATCAACATGTCTATCAAAATCACTTCAACGACCCAAAATTTATCTGTATGTAAGAAATAGACATAGACATCAAAAACCCTATAATTCTATTCTGTTTTGTTTATTCAAATTCAATTTGCTTTCAGACAAGAGAGTTTCAGACAAGGTAAAAGGCTAAAGCTTCGTTCTTTCTGCGCCTAATTGTCTCACAAATCAATATCAACCAATAAAATCTGTATGTAAATCAATTGGCATGAGCAAATTATACACAGAATTTGATTACTAATTAAAGTTTCCAACTTTGATTCAAAGACTCTGAACAGAACAAAGAGGTGTTGGTTGATACGGAACCAAAGATAGAGAAGAAGAAACCTGATTTAGAATTGAAGAGAGAGGATGGTGCGAGAGCTAATCTCCCACAAATCGCAGTCTCCATTGTCGAGTGGATGCTTCTCAGTTCTCAAGTCTCTCCAAAACACAGATACAATCAGGACCGAACAATTTTAATCACATGAATAAATGAAGAAATTTCAGAAATTGGTGGTTTACGGAATTTTACGTTGCCTCTGCCTCAAACGCTGCGTTTAGCCTTAAAAGGTTTATACCTTTTTGTCTGATTGTCCCGGTTTACCGAACCAAAATTTGAACCTATCAACTATTTCCGGTTTGGTTGCTCTGGGGCCGATACGTTGAAATATGGAGGTGGGTTTAGACCATCTCCAATGGATTACTCTATACTCTATTTTAGAGGAAACTTTATTTTAGAGTAATCCATTGGAGCAAAATCTCCTCTAAAATAGAGGAAAATATAGAGTAATCCATTGGAGATGCTCTTAGTCGTGTTAGGATTGTTTAACACTTGAACAGTCGAGGTTAGTATTGGTTAGAGCCGGTTCAATGTGCTGTGCATATGTATGAATAGACGGTTTATAATGTTTTGATCTAGTTGGTTCTGTCAATTCTATATATAATATAACAAATGTATTTGTTCTTTCTTTTCTAAATAGAAAAGGAGAAGAAATTCCTAAAACTCTAATTAGATTATGCTAAAACTAAATTGGTATCCAAACGTTTTTTATTTTTAATTTTGCTTCGATACTAGTTCAATCGTTTGCTTAATAAAATAAGATACTGATAAATTAATCTAGTTTAATTTTAATAAAACGTTTTTTTTAATCGTTTGTATGTGGATTCAAGCAAAAATATATTTTATCGTTTGTTTTTTTATTTTATTTTATCCCAATTCTTTTTTTTTAAAACTAAATAGTATTTATTTGATAATAATATTTTTATTTGTAGAATTCAGTTATATTTTATTTGCTGAAGATACTGATTAATTTATTAAGATTTTTCATTAATGCTAAATCTCTGTGATATCAAATCATTTACTCTGGAGACGATGTATCGATGATCTCCCAAGCCGTGATTCCGATAACTAAGATCTTACCTATGCAATGAATGCGCCAGCATATTTATGTTTTATCTTCCGATCATCTTCTCCAGGACCGCCTTCTAAATGGTCCATCTGATGATGTTGAGTCTTCAACAGGGAGAAAAAAAATAGTTCATACAGGGCAATCTCTTGCATTAGACACTTTGGTATTAAGTATCTAAAGATGATAGAGAAAAAAAATTATTTCTTGTATTTGACCAAATCATGTGTGGTAAAGAAGGGTAAGAATTGAAAATTGTCTCGTCATTTTTCAAGATTGTTATAATCGTTTATATGTAGCTAGTGATAATTTTTTATCTACTTACAATTGCGGAACGACGAAGAATCTTGATAATCATTAGGATTCTTACGACTTACGAGTTTTTTTGAGGTTAGTTCTAGATTTGAGTTTTGTATTCATTTTATCTAATTTTGCGGGTTTTCATAGTTGGCTTGAATCATTGGATAATCACTATGTTGGAGATAGAGCCGGCTCTAAGTTTTCGAAGGCCACAAGCAAATAAAAAAAAATGGGCTGTTTTGCATATTTATTAAAATATATTTAATAAAGGAAAAATCAAAAATAAATAAATGCTGTAGTCAAGAATCGTACTGCAGTTTGGCACCTAGGAAGGAAGAACCGGAACCACTCCACTAAAGGAAAATTTTGGAAATTTGGGGCCGAAAATTTTATATATTATGAAAGGCCGCAAACAAATACTTCATGGGCCTGTGACATGGGCCGGCTCTGGTTGGAGAGCTTCGTATTTGATCTTTCTCTTTGTTATTTTGCATATTTTAAAGTTTCACCTGAAATTTTAAACTAATATTTTTTATAAAAAAAAATTCATGTCTACATATTAATGAATTATCATGTTTAGTTTGTTCGAAATTGTTGATCGCTACGGATTAACCCACAAAATATGTAGCTTGTGCGCATGTTAAGTTTGTTTGAGATGGTTGCTCGCTATGGATTAATCCAAAAATCTGTATTTGTGCATTACCAATTGACTATTGCATTAACCGATTAACCCGTCTCTTTTTAGCTCTAATCAAAGCCGGCGCTAATATTTGAAAGGCCACAAGCGGGAAAAAAAATTTTGGGCCGAATTTTTGACAGAAAAAAAATAAAAAATTAGCAGCTTCAAAGGTTTGAAGCCAAAAAAGATAAGAGAGCATCCATGTACCTACACCACTAGACTAAAGCCAATTTTAAAAATTGTGGACCAAAATTTTTATATAAAATAATCGGCTGCAAGCATGGACTTGATTAGCCTGTCCCAAGGGCCGGCTCTAGCTCTAATTGTCACTCCAAACTTCTTTATTTAATTGTGGCTATGGAATAGCCATCATGAAGAGAACTCCAATACATGTGTTGGAGATCTTACCTGCATGTAATATTGTTTGTTTTCTTTTCCCATGGAAACAAAATTTATCATGTGCTAATAAAGGTAATAATTGATGGATCTAATCTCGTTTAAATCTTCATGTCCCACACCTCCCACATAAAGACCAAACATGTATTTAGATTCATCTGAACCATCAAAACTGAGACAACAAAGTTCTCTGTGTAAAATTTATATGTTTGTTTTCTTAAAACAGAGAAAATGTGGAGTAATGAATCTGATATTTGCCTATCATGATGATTAACAAGAAACAGTTGATCATTTCAATCTTGCTTCTAATAGTTTCATAAATCATAGGTAGACCCATAAAATAAAATTTTGGTCACCGACCATATTGGTGAATGGTGATTATGATTAACGAAATTAGTCCAAAATCTTGCTGCATCTAAAAAAATACAAAAACACTATCATATGCATTAACTCATTCGATCAAGGAATCGAACCACCAAAGAACCATTTGTTTTTTTTCTTGAAAGAAAAAAAAAATCTAAAAAAAGATAATGACAAAAGCAGAGAATCTGGTTGCGTCAATTGAATATTTTGTCACGTGGGCACGCGCGCTTTGAAGCGAGTGAACATTGGCAAATAAGAAATTGGCTCTTGAGGAATATGAAAGGTCGTTTGGGAAAATGGTAATAATAATATCCGGCGTGGGCAAATGTAATTCTCACACTTCCTTCTAAAAGATTCTTCTTTCTTATTTTTTTTCTTTTGTTTTTCTCGTGATTCTTTCTTCCCTCTTAGAATATTCCTTCACCAAATTAACTCATTTTCAATTCACATTTTTATATTCGTTCAAAAATATCATACATAAAATATTGTAATTAACTTGAGAAATTAACTATCGGAAATCTGGGATATATAAAACGTCAACTATCTTTGAAAAAATATATTCAAGTGTTTGGTTACATAAATGGTGAATGATAACATTTGGAGTTGGAATTAAGATAACATTAGTGATTTATTGTCACTAAAAAAAATCTCTTATGAGAAGATACTGATTGATTTATTTAATGAATGCATATTTTGTTAGGTGAACGTCATTTTTACGATTTTATGGAAAAGACGCATAATAAAAACTAAATCTTTAAATTTGAAATTATAAATTATACGGATGCATTTAATGAATAGATTTGTCCACATAGAACACAAAATATCATTTATTACTTTCTCCGTTTCGTTTTAGTTGTCGTTTAAGGTTTTCTCACACAAATTAAGAAAAACATTAAATTTTCTGTTTTATTCTTTATTAATATATCTTATAAATTTTTTCATTGGCCAAAACATTAAAACAATAGGGATAATATTGGAAATATTACCAAACATTTGCATTGAAAACCTAAAACGACAATTATTACGAAACAAAATTTAAGTCCTAAAACGACAACTAAAACGAAACGGAAGGAGTATGATAGTCTACTATACATTTTTGCAGCAGTTTTTGGGGTACCCAAATCGGGTCAAATTTGTTTAATTTTGACCCAGAAATCTTCAATCGGATCTTTCCTTAAATTTTGGCAAAATTAAAAAACGAAAATAATTAATAAAATCTAAAATATATATACTTTCTCAACTAATTACTATATTTAAACGCTTTATTTATGGTATATTCTCCACGATTTTTATAGATAAAGAAATCAAATATGATGATTTAATGCTAATATAACAAATTTGCACTAATTTCCTAAAACCTCTCTACCTAATTTAAACATAAATATATGATTCTTATTTCACTTTTATTTGATCTTATATTTATATTATTTTAAATTATTATAAAATATATAAATAGTTAGTAAATTTTAGTTTTTTTTTCTGCATATGTTACAATTCAAATTTTTTAAAACGGACATATATTACTCAATCGATGAATAAAAATATGTGTGTAATCTATATTAACATTTTTAAGAACAAATTGAGCATTTAATCATGTCGTTATTTTATTCAGACCCGAAAATTGAGTCATTCGGATCTTTCTTTAATTTTTACAATTATCTAAAATGGGACAGTATATCACGGGTGAAATCCTAATTAGTATTTTAAGATACAATTATAAATTGTTTTTACGGGTTGGTCCAAAAACACACACTAATTTAAAAATATACATGGAAACTATTTGAAAGTAACTTTCAAATTAACTCGAATTATATGACATTTAAATAAAAGTGTTATTAAAAAAATAACAAAATGATGTTTAATTTCATTTTAGATTATATGGTTGGACGGGTTTGGGTCAATATTAATATGAGACAATATACTACAGGTGAAATCCTATAAATAACAAATCAAAATACAATTATACAATCTTAAACACTAAACAAAACAAATACAACTTAAAATTTTTTATTTTAGATACAACGCATGTGACCCGCGGTATACAACAAAATATTATACACAATAAATTCATCAATTTATAAAAATAAAAAATCAAATAATTAATCCGCGGTGTACCGCGGGTCATATCCTAGTTAAATTAAATGAAGGATAAAATCCTTGAAGAAACTCTGGAATTTATTTTTTTTGTAAAATTTATTAATGGGAAAATCTTGTTTTTGAGTGTGAATCTTAATTTGGGGAGAAGAAAAATGGTACGAGTCTTCATTCTTATCTAAAAAAGAAAAAGCTAAAGAGATTGAGAATAGTGACGTCAGTTCCAGCCCATAGAGAGATGCGAACCTATAATCGAATCTGATCCTCTGAATATTCACCCAACAAAACACCACATCCTCACAAAATTACTATTTTACCCTTTCTTACCAGAAAAAAAAAAACACATTTAACTCTCAAAGATTCGTTTAGGTACGCGACGGCCCGACCTCGATCCCCTTCACTTCTTTGTTCCAAAACCTAAACCAAAACTCTCTCTCTCTATCTCTATCTCTATCTCTATCTCTTCAAATATCAAAACATTGGAATCAATTTCTCTATGTTTTGATTCCATTTTAAAGATCCAATATTCCTTCTCCATTTGAAAAGTAAGCTTCTTTGTTCGCTGTCGTCTCTCTGTAGATCTATCTACCCATTTGGTTCTTGGTCCCTTTAGAATAATAATGATGGTGGAGATGGATTACGCTAAGAAAATGCAGAAATGTCATGAATACGTTGAAGCACTTGAAGAAGAACAAAAGAAAATCCAAGTCTTTCAACGCGAGCTTCCTCTATGTTTAGAGCTTGTTACTCAAGGTAATAATAATCCAATCAAAATCTCAAATTTTACACAAGTTTCTTACAAATCACTTTATGGGTCTTGATGGGTTTTTGTTTTTTTTTGTTTCTGTAGCGATCGAAGCATGTCGGAAGGAGTTATCTGGTACGACGACAACATCAGAACAGTGTTCAGAACAGACAACAAGTGTTTGTGGTGGTCCTGTTTTTGAAGAGTTTATTCCTATCAAGAAGAGGTCGTTGTGTGAAGAACAAGAAGAAGATGGTGAACATGAATCTTCTCCAGAGCTTGAACAGATTGGTAATAATAAGAAATCTGATTGGCTTAGATCTGTTCAGTTATGGACTCCATCACCAGATCTTAACCCGAAAGAGGTAATTAAATTTGAGATTTGAAGGAGTTTTAATTCTTGATTACGAGGAAGTAATCTTGATTATGTTTTGTGTTAATCGAATTATAGGAGCGTGTAGTTAAGAAAGCGAAAGTAGTGGAGGTGAAACCAAAAAGCGGTGCGTTTCAGCCGTTTCAAAAGGAGAAAAAACGCGTTTTGGAGACTGATTTGCAACCGGCGGTGAAAGTAGCTAGTTCGACGCCGGCGACGACGACGAGTTCTACGACGGAAACTGGTGGTGCTAAAAGTGAGTTGGTTAAAGTGGGAGAGGAGCAGAGACAGATAGAGCAGCAGCAATCGCAGTCGCAAACGCATAGAAAACAAAGGCGGTGCTGGTCGCCGGAGTTACACCGGCGATTCCTAAACGCGCTTCAGCAGCTTGGAGGATCTCATGGTAATTAAGATTAAATTTAATTACTGGATGGATTATCTTTTTTCTAATTGGCTCATTTGTGATTCGTAATTAAATTAAATTAAATTAATGATTTTTATTTGTTTTTATTGGGCTATTTTGCAGTTGCTACTCCTAAACAGATTAGAGATCATATGAAAGTCGATGGGTTAACAAATGACGAAGTTAAAAGCCATTTACAGGTAACATTAATAATCATTTCAGGTCCTCAATTTTTCCAAACCATTTTGTGTAAATATTCAGACATGATCCAAATCATTTTTATGTTAATAATTTGTGTTATGGTAATTAAATTAATTGATACTCAATTTTTCTGAAAAGCCATTTTGTGTAATATTTCAGAAATATAGACTTCACACAAGAAGGCCAGCAGCAACATCGGTGGCGGCACAGAGTAATGGAAACCCGCAACAACCGCAGTTCGTGGTGGTTGGAGGCATATGGGTACCATCGCCACAAGATTTTCCACCACCGTCCGATGTAGCCAACAACGGTGGTGTATATGCTCCGGTTGCGGTGGCGCAATCTCCAAAACGTTCGGTGGAGAGAAGTTGTAACTCGCCGGCAGCATCTTCCTCTACAAATACAAATACTTCTACTCCTGTATCATAATCATCTCGTGATTTGGTTTTGGTAGGTTTAATAATGTTATGTGAATGTAAAAAAAAAATTCGTCCGTTTTGTTTGTAACCAAGAAATGTTATTTCCTAGGTTGGAAATTTTGAATAAAGTAGACGAATGCTATGTAGTATATACACGAGAGATAAGTAAAGAATCTTTGTTTTTCTAACTTTGGATATATATTTACTAAATATCTATTTGTTTTTGGTGTAGCATTTAGACAGATATCTTCGTGATGAATCTGATGGCATCAAATTCATCACCTTCGCAAACAATTAGATTCACAGAAAGGTCCATGAATCGACCAACTAACCACCATTCACAGAATAGAATACCAAATCTATCATTTTGCATGGCAGTTTATTAAAAAAAATCTAACGTGGCCGGTGGCCGCCTCTGAAACTTACTTAATAGTTAGTTAACCATAATCAAATCATAGTGTATTTAGATTATAGTATCCTTTATTTTTTTCCCCCACAATGTTATGGTGATTGACTAGAACCGGAATTTCTTTAGAAAATTCAGAAACCAGTTTAATAATCCTGCTCTAAGGAGAATAAAAAAGGTCATGTTCGGACTTAGTTTTATAAGTCTTCGTTGACTAAGTCCATGTTGAATAAGTCTTCCTCGATTAGAGGAAAGTGGACGATTAGATTTTTATTAATGTTTTGATTTTATAATGTTATAGAATTTCAGGTCTACATACAAAAATACATCGTGACATTTGCTCTGTTTATAGTAAAAGAGAAAAGTAGGGGTTGGAGATTCTAATAAGCATTAACTAATTGAATTTTGTGATCAGTTAAAAAAAAAAAAAAAAAGTTGAAGTCAAAACTTTCTCTAAGGGTCTAAATGGTAACCGAGGAATCTGGCTGAATCCGGCTGAATTGCTGAATCTGGCTGAATTTTTAGTGGTTTTTAGCTGAATCTGGCTGAATTTTTATATTTTCAAATGGTAACCGCTGAATCTAGCTAAATTTTTTGTGCTTTTCAGCAGAATCTGTCGAAATAATTAAGACTTTAACTGAAATATCGTCAAATAATTATGAATATTAATAGAATAACTAAGGAAAAATATCTAAATAAAATAGATAAAATTATCTAATAGTCTCTATAACTCTTATACCAATAAATAAATACTAGAATTAATATCTTTTTAGCAAAATTGAGTTGTTCTTCCAAATCTAATTTTTGAACTATTAAAAAGATATAATTAATTAATAGAAAGCTTTGTCAAAGTTTTATTGAAAAATTAATTTAAAAATATACATGATAATATAGTATAGATTATCTTATTGATTTTTCATTGTTCTCTAGCAGTTTAAATCCTTAATATGATTAGGATGATTAACAATTTTTTTAATTTGATATTTAAATATTATTTTAGCATAAGTATGAGTTATTTTTGCAAAAATTTGGAAAATTATATTTAAGTATCTAAAATTTATTAAAATTATCTAAAATTATCTATAGATATCTGAACATAAATATGTCTCTTGTCTATTTTGGTAATGATTTTATGTGTATGAATTATTCATATATCGTATTTGTATGTCTAACTTATTTTAAAATATAAATTTGATGTGTAATTTTTAATAGCCATAAATATTTTAATTCGAGTTGTGAATCGCTATAATACAAATTTTTATCTGAAATGTTGGAATCTGTTGAAAAAATTTGATGTGTAATTTAATTCGATGTGTAATTTAATTCGATGTGTAATTTGATGTTTAATTCGATGTTGATGTGTAATTTAATTCGATGTGTAATATAATTCGATGTGTAATTTGTCAAATCCTGAAATATAAATTTGATGTGTAATTTAATTCGATGTTGGAAAAACTGTTGAATCTGGCTGGATTCAGCTGAATTTAGTTTTATGCAAATGGTAACTGCGGAATTGCTGAATCTGGCTGAATATTTTTTTCTTGTTACCATTTACACTCTAAGTTTTCTCAGATACATCTTCTTGTGCCGTGTTGATTTATTTTAAGCTTTAACTATCACTTTAGAATATATTTATAATTTTTTTTATAATATTATAATATGCTAATATACTTAATATTTACGGGTTGGATAGTAAATTAAGTAATAAGTCGGAAACAAAAAAAAAATATTTGATTTTCAAACTTTATCCATATTTAATAGGATTATACTCTCTCTGTTTCATAATATAAAGCGTTTTAGATAAAAATTTTTGTTTCACAATATACGTCGTTTTCGAGTTTCAATGCATATTATATATTAATTTAATATTTTATGATTATTTATATTATGCAGTTTTCTTTATGATTGATTGAACTTTTAAAAAGTAAATCTTCTTAATCGACGTGATTTATCTAAAACGATTTATATTATGAAACGGAGGGAGTAATAGTTTTTATCGGTTTTTAAAGTCACAAATACTTTTTGGGAAACGAATTATGAGTCGAATAACTGATCAAATGCAAGGAGCAAGTTAGATTCGCTCGTCTCTCATTAAGATTGACACATAGAGCTCTAAGAGCTAAAATCACATGAAGATGAACACCCCAATCACATATTAAATTAAATTGTTACAAATTTAGGATTGTAGCTTCAAAATGATATTCAATAAACATATAAAGAACCGTCTATAAATTTTTTTATACAAGATCTATAACTTGTCTTGGGCCGATGATCCAGGCCCGTTTATGAATTATGATCAAGGATTCCTTATAACTTTTTTTTTGAAACAAAAATATTAAAAAAAAATTTTTTTTTTAAAAAAAGAAAGAAATCCCCAAATTGAATTGCGAAATCGCAATTAGGGATCTCTCTGTGAATCGTGATGGCGTCGTCAAGCGATCCATCAAAAACAGTAATGGAGAGGAAGAAGAAAGGAGCTCCGATCAAATTCTTGGTCCCTCTCATCTACGCGCCTGCTCTTCCTTTGATTCGGTTGTCTTTGAGACATAAACCAGTTCTCAGAGACCGTCTCTTCGGTCTTGTCCTCGCCGGTGCTTTTGCTCATGGCTTCTATCTTGTGTATCCTCTTTATTCACCGCTTTCTTCTGTGATTGATATCATTGTGGATTGTTGAATTAGTGAACTTGCATGTATATATAGCTCCTTGTCTTATTTAGGGGTTTAGGGTTCAATTAGTTCATTTGCATTTCCATTGGATTGGTACATGTTGATTGTTTATTGGAACTCTTAGCTTATATAAATTAGTCGACTTGTCTTGTCCATTTTCATCATTTATGTTGAGGATTTGGTAAGCAAAATGCATTTTAGACTTTATCATTTGCAGTGAAGAGTGATGTAAATTGATACTAGTTAGTAATTGTTTGAACTGATACTTTATAGAAATTTCTATTGAGATGAGATATGTGTAACTGTGTAAGTATAGGGACTATAAGGCAATGAATCCTGACTTATGTCGTATAATCGCAGCAAGTAATATATGGTTATGTGTTTAGAAAATTTACCATTTTCAATCCGTGTGTGTCTCTTATACATTTTATTTGTAGAATTGAAACTATAGACCATCTATATACCAAACTTAGGAATCGATGAAAGTTTGCTTGTAGTTGTTGATTCAGGTAGTTTTAGGTAGTGATCATGCTGATGAGTGATGGCACATTGGAATAAAATGTAATAGTTTGGTAGCTTAAAGAACCTCAGATTCCTGTTAGTAGTGAGAGCAAATATTCAACATTTCAGTGATTGAGATGAAGTTGTTGAGAATAGTTTGAGCTGGTGTTGTTAAGCTTTGATTGACATGAGTATTATGTGGATTTATGCATTTGTAAGTGTTGATAATCTCTTTTGGAATGTTATTTTGTTTTGATTGTTCCTTATAGAGAAATCACAGAACGGATATATATGATGCAGAGAGCAAATGAAAAACTTTGGAGTTGCAGCCATTCAACAAGAGCTCAATATTTCTCACATTTCTGTCTTTTAGATAAATAAATTTTGCTTTTGGGTTTAAACCTCTTGATACATTCTTATCCATTAGTCATTGTTCCCTAAGAAAAAAAGTGTATCACCTTTTACATTTTTCAATCCCATTCTTGATTTTCAATGTCTTGAGTGGAGAACAAAACCAGTTTGACATAATATGGCATCCACATGAACACATGTCTATGATATGATCATATGGATAAGGAATATATTTCTATTGGTATATTATAAAACGAAGTCAATATAGCAATTGTGTTTGGAAATAGTATCTAAGTGGAGACAGCAAGAGGTGGCAGGTGTTTGTGAATTACACCTCTTGTGCAATGATAGTGGATCAACAAGTGCGTTCACTCGTATGATTATAATTGTTTTTAACGTCAAGATCCTCACTTAGCTCTCACACCACATGTCCAAGTAAATAGAAAAATTTAAATATTTTCTCTCTTCTTTTAAATTAGGACTTGTTCACAAGTAATGATGGAGAAATGGCACGTGGTGAGATAGGAGTGAGAGTGTTGTAAAACAACAACAAAAGAAGAGTAGTTGGAATGTTTTGGGATCACGGATTAGTGAATGTTCTTGTGGGGGTTTTAAGGTATTGACGGCGACACGTATTTCATGTTACTCTCAAGTGTCTCTCCCTTTCACCGTTGGCCGTAGCACTTTCTTTTCTTGTGGAACCTTTTGCATTTGAGATGGATCTTCCGGACCTACACCCATAGGAGCATAACTGGTCCCTGAGTTTGTGAGATCAAAAACATTTACGATTTTTAAGACCGATGATCAATATATATTCTTTAGTAAACAACATTACCACGATCCAACCGTCTGCTGAATCTCCGAAATTCCCACTTGAATATATTATAAGTTTATAACATAGATAATGTGAGTTAGTTTATAATTATGTGGCAAATGCTTGTATTCAAATTTTCATTATTTGTTGGTTAAACACGTGTTTTATATTATCTAACACACTATCCAACCTGAAATATTCCTCATTTTTCTACCAAAAATATTTGGACCGTTTCAACATTAACTTTTCCATCTTATTTTTGTTGCCCAAACTGATGTGTAGTGTTCGTTTATGTAAAGATTAGCGTAAAGACGACCCGATGATGACATATGTGCTCTCATCACAATCTTTGAAGTTAGAAGAATGAGGTCCTTAGACATTTTTTTCTTTCTAATTTATAAATGTACTCCCTCTATTATTTTATATAGTTTTGTCCTTTAGATTTCATGTGCTACAAAATGAAAGACCTACTAATATTTTGATTGTATAAAAAGATATATATATATATATATATATATATTGCAACCGAGAATTTAAAATTATTTTTTTTTGCGGTCAAGTCAAACACATCTTGGAACATATTGAAAAAGTCAACTTGAGATAGTTCACAGAAAATATTAAATATGTAAATATTAGAACCACATTTCAATATAAAATTAACCGCCATTACTATAGAGCAAACTACTTGTCATTAAAATAATACACAACTTAATTTAAGAATCAATTTAGCCTGAGATTGTACTAGAAAAAATAACACCAAATAACTCCATCTTGAAATTATAAACACTAAAATTATTTTCCTATTCCGATTACTACATGAACTCCATAAAAAATTTGAGCTTCTTTATAACTCAAACCTAAATTTGATTTTCAATCTCTAAATTATCAAGCTACATAATTAAAACAAGGATCAATATAGTGTTGAATATTATAAATATTGTTTTATTAAAACGATATGTACTGAACAAATTAACTCACTATAAATTCAGCTAATTTTCAAAGTTCTTTTTTTTCTTAGGTATGAAAATCTTCGTATATTAAATTGAATTTTTTTTTTCAACACACAAACAAATATTAAATTGGTTTTTCATTTTTTTTGCTTATGAGCACCGATCTATTGATGACAAAGCGCGTAAAAGCTTAAATAAAACAAAACAAATATATTTATTAAAATAAAAAGGTTACGGTGAAATTTGTAAAGTAGCTAATTTGATATTTTGTTCGGTTATGGAAACAAATTGAATTCATTTCCTTAAAAACAATTAAAACTTTCAATTTCTTTGACCGTTGATTTAACGTAGCATTGAAGCATTCCCAGAGAGTAGAGAAGACGCTGGAATACAAAAAAAAATCTCAGAAATTAAACTTTCAAGCTCAGAAGAAAGTGAAAAGAATGAAACTTTGATTCTTTATTACAGATTCAAGATTCGAAGTTGAAGAGAAGAAGAAGCAGAAGGGACAAGACAAAGCTCCTTACTTGTGTTTTTGCTCTGTTCTTCAATGGCTGAAGTTTTATAACGGAGATGTTTCCGTTATGAGATCTGAGGTTATTGCATATTCAATCAAATTGGGTAATCTCAGTGATCTGGAATTTTGGTTGGGGCAAGCAAATTTCTGTGTTTTTTTTCCTCGGCCGATCTGGGTTTGATCTATTACATCATCGTCTTCTCTGTTTTGTCTTGAAGCTTGGTGTTTTTGAGTAAATTAGGGTTTAATCGAAGAAAATTAGCTGTGCTGTGATTTCGAAAGTTTGCTACTTCTTCACGTTTAGTGTTCTTAGTTGGTAAAGTTTGGTGCTTTCAGGATACTGTCATACTCAAAAGTCTGGGACTTTTAGGTTTTTGGTTCTTGATTTAGTGATTGATCTGAATCTTTGAATCTCTGATCGTTTCTTGGAGGAAAGATTTTAAATTTTTGGATGAGAAGTTGATTTGGTGATCGGAATTGAGATGGCAACGACACCGGTACAACCTCCGGTTTCAAATTCTCCACCGGTGGCTTCGCCGCCGCCACTGAATAATTCTACTCCAAGTAACAATGCTTCTTCTCCGGCCATACCACCACCAGTGACATCTCCGCTTCCTCCGTCAGCACCGCCACCAAATAGAGTTCCTCCTCCTCCTCCGGTTACTACCTCACCACCACCAGTTACAAATGGAGCTCCTCCTCCTCCACTGCCAAAACCACCTGAGAGCTCTCCTCCACCACCACAACAACCAGTGATCCCTTCACCTCCTCCTTCAATTTCATCGCCCCCACCACCAACGGTACAGCCACCTCAAGCCTCTCCTCCGCCTCCACCACCTGCATTAGTCCCACCATTACCTTCTTCTCCTCCACCTCCTGCATCTGTTCCTCCTCCACGGCCATCGCCTTCACCACCAATCTTAGAACGCTCCCCTCCTCCTCCTCCGCCTTCAAATCGTCCCATTCAATCTCCTCCTCCTCCATCACCGCCTCCAAACCGCCCCATTCAATCTCCTCCTCCTCCTTCACCGCCTTCAGACCCTCCCACTCAATCTCCTCCTCCTCCTTCACCGCCTTCAGACCGTCCCTCTCAATCTCCACCTCCTCCACCAGAGGATACTAAACCCCCACCTCCCAGGAGAAGTCCAAATTCTCCACCTCCAACATTTTCTTCTCCTCCACGTTCTCCTCCTGAAATACTTGTCCCAGGTTCTGATAATCCACCCCAAAACAACCCTACTCTTAGACCTCCTGATAGCTCAAATTCTACTAATGGTAGCGGAATTGGTACTGGGGCTGTTGTTGGTATCAGTGTGGCAGTGGCACTTGTGGTGTTCACTCTTATTGGTATTTTTGTCTGGTGCGTGAGAAGACGAGAAAAACGACTTTCAGCTGTTAGTGGTGGCGATGTTACGCCATCACCAATGAGCTCTACCGCAAGATCAGGTATTAGTTTGATAGGAATCCTTAAAACTGTTTCATTAAGATGTTAAAAAATTTTCTTGTGTTTGTGTTTCTTGATTCTCACTACATTTTGATATTCTTATGTCCAGATTCAGCTTTTTTTAGGATGCAGTCATCTGCACCTGTTGTAGGAGAAAAGCGTTCGGGCAGTCATCAAACATATTTCTCACAATCACAATCTGGTGGCTTAGGCAATTCGAAAGCATTGTTTTCCTACGAAGAACTTGTGAAGGCAACAAATGGTTTTTCACAAGAAAATCTATTAGGTGAAGGAGGATTTGGTTGTGTATATAAAGGGATATTACCGGATGGGAGAGTAGTTGCTGTCAAACAACTAAAGATCGGTGGAGGACAAGGTGACCGGGAGTTCAAAGCCGAAGTTGAAACTCTTAGTAGAATTCATCACCGCCATTTGGTTTCAATTGTGGGACATTGTATCTCTGGTGACCGCAGATTACTTATCTATGATTATGTCTCTAACAATGACCTTTACTTCCACCTTCATGGTAAGTAAAAAACATTTCCGAGATTACATTTCATATATACACACGCCACTGCTCCTCAAACTATCTACTATGTCTTAAACAGGAGAAAAATCTGTTCTGGACTGGGCAACACGTGTTAAAATTGCAGCTGGGGCGGCTCGTGGACTAGCTTATCTCCATGAAGATTGTAAGTTATTGCTTAACCTTTTCAGTCATATTTCTTACTTTGGATGGTTAATTCCATATTTCTTAATGGTACACTCTAAACATTTGTCTATTGTCAGGTCACCCGCGTATCATTCACAGGGACATTAAGTCGTCTAACATTCTTTTAGAGGACAACTTTGATGCTCGGGTACAACATTAGTCTGCTATTCTAGATTATCAAGGTTTCAGTTACATTGTGACTTAAAGAGTATTTGATCTCTCATTTTTTGTAGGTCTCTGACTTTGGTCTTGCAAGATTAGCTCTTGATTGTAACACTCATATCACCACACGGGTTATCGGAACATTTGGGTAGGTGCTTGCCTTGTTTGATTAGATGGTTGCATCTTTTGGCATCTAGTTGATATTTTTCATTCATCTACTTTAGCTACATGGCTCCTGAATATGCATCAAGTGGAAAATTAACAGAGAAATCAGATGTATTCTCCTTTGGTGTTGTTCTGCTCGAGTTAATCACTGGACGTAAACCGGTGGATACATCGCAACCACTTGGAGACGAGAGCCTTGTTGAATGGGTACGCCCTCTATTCCAACTTTTCTTTCATATCCTCAAGAAGTTTGATTTAACCTTTGCATTAATTGTTTTTTCAGGCCCGGCCTCTGATAAGTCATGCCATAGAAACCGAGGAATTTGATTCTTTAGCAGATCCCAAGCTTGCGGGAAACTATGTCGAATCTGAAATGTTTAGAATGATTGAAGCAGCGGGAGCCTGCGTGCGCCATTTAGCTACCAAGAGACCTCGGATGGGACAAGTACTAACATTTTCTTTTTTTCTTTCCTTGTTTAGAGTTTATTTGCTTAAAACTTGAAGGAATCTTGATATATATTTGCAGATTGTGAGAGCTTTTGAAAGTTTAGCTGCGGAAGACCTCACCAACGGGATGAGACTAGGCGAAAGCGAGGTCTTTAACTCAGCTCAACAGTCAGCAGAGATCAGATTGTTTAGGAGAATGGCATTTGGTAGCCAAAATTACAGTACAGATTTTTTCACACATAGTAGTTACAATAGCAGAGACGAAAACGTGTAAATATCATACACAGATTGTTTTTTTCTTTCTCTCGCCATTAGTGGCAACAACCCATCAATAATATCCCAGTTTTGTCTCAAAAACTCACCATCTTTCGCGCCTCAAACCCGCACATCCTGTTCATATCAAAGCAGAACCTTCTCAGAGAGCTTGAAACAGTAAGAATCTCCCTCTGATGTTTTTTTGCTTTTTCTTGATTTGTGTTCATGTTTTGTTTCCCTGTGGTGAAAACTAAAGAGACTACCAAACCAATTTTCAGAAACAGAGGATTACAGAGGAGCTAGTGGTTACACAGAAAGATGAGAAAAAAAAGGATAGATGGGTAAATACTTATGTTCTAGCACAAGAGAGGCTTTGTTTCTTACATGAGATTGCTTTTGTATCTATTTTTTTAATACTTATACGTTCAAGTTTGAACATTCTGTGACATTACTTGTGATAAATCAATAAGGCTCAATTTGTCTCACTGTGTCAGTTTCTAGATGCAGAAAGACTGATTTGCCATTATGAATTACCGTGTTGGAGAGTAGTTGAATACTTGAATCAAAGAAAACTGTTAGTTGTTTTGACGTCCAAGCTTTCCTAAAACAAAGCTTCTAAGAGGGTCTCATAGCACATGTGATTCTGTAATATGTGTAAAAACAAACACATGGGTGTTGCTTTGCGTTGCATTTGTTGATACCAATATTGGCAAGGAACATATTCCTTTGACACAATCTAATGTCACCTCTTAACTTCTGTTTTCTTTCATTTCCTTCCTTTATAACTTTGTTGTTACCTTAACAGTTTTTTTTTTTTTAATGCATCTTTGAGTAATAATGAAAGAAGATTGTGGTGCTTTTGCAGCGGATTGTGTTATCTTCTGTTGCTGCTGCGAGTGCTTTATACTGCAAGTCTTTATGTTTGCTTTCTTTAAGGTTCCTTATAAACTTTCTAAGAAGATGAAGAGATTTGTTACAAGGAAGAGGTTTCGAGGAAAGAAGAGAAGAAACGCGGAAATCGTCCTACCCACAAAGGAGGATGATTGCAGAGAGGAGCATGGGTCGAGATATAGTTGCATGGAAGATATTGAGGAGATGATGCAGGAACTTTCCATGCAAGGAGAGTTTGTGTTTGGTAGTTTCTGGAGACAAGGAGACTCTGCAAATGATGTGGATTTCGGAAATTCACAATACGAAATAGCTAAATACAGCAACAACCATCATTCTTTGTCATTGCTCATTGCACAAGATGTCTTATTGGATTCAAGAATCCAAATAATGAAGCGTTAAGAGGAGAACCGAAGGGGGTATTTAACTTCCCTATCTTTGCATTCTCCATGTTCTCTAAGATTGAGAATGACAGTAAAAAAGTAAAGGACTAATGGCAATCTTGGAAGAGAAAATGAAGAGAAAAGACAATTGGAAATCTCTCTACTGAGACTCCGATGTATAATCATCTTCAGCTGTTCTGTAAACACAATTCACTGGACTTAACTGTAAGATCTCCTTTCGTAACCAGGCAAGGCCGCAAGAATCAGAATGTACAACAACTGGTTGGACAGCCTTTATCGATCCAGTCTGAAGCAAGAAAGCTTCTTACTTCCATATATTTATGGTTCTATTTACGTTCTGCGAGTCAGTTGAATATGAAAAAAACCATTCAAGAGGAGACAGGTTGATGTTTGGTTAGTTTCCGTTGTCATGATGCAGGCTCAGAGATCCTCACTGATCTCTTTTTAGCTTCTAATCTTGCGGTGAACCCAACTGTTGTAGGCCTTATTGATCTTTGCCTTACCATATCACAGTACTCAGGGTCATTACACTGACCCTCGTACCTTAGCCACTGTATCATACCATGGTACATTGGGAAAAAACTCATCTGAAGTGCAGAGTAGATGAAGTATGGCATCAATGTCGCTACAACCACAAAGAGGGTAATGAGCCAGTAAGAAAGTGAAGGTGCGAGAGCTTCAACAAAGACTTTATATGCACCGGTTGATATTCTTGATGGAAGTTCTCCGTACACCATGATGAAAAAGTACCAAACGACAATGGAGCTCCAAATCACAATGTGCTGGATCAGAGTGAAGTAACTGATAGCCAATGCCATCTGCAAATTCACAACCCAGACAATGCATGTGTACATTGTCCCGCCTAGTATTTCTCTTCCCGGGGTTTTTCCATCGTGGTTAAAAGCTTGAGATTGGAGAGAACTTTTGCAGAGGAAGAAAATGATAACTGCACTGTAAAATCCGTTGAACATCCAGCCAAGTATCCTGCGCCAGCTGAACAAAACATTTTGTACACCTTCTTGGTATAACAGCGGAAACTGCAAAACCAAGAAAAAGGAAGAAGTTGACACAAATTGTTTGACCGGTGAGAAGATAAAGATGTTGTAATGCAATGAATAAGTTTACCTTTAGACAATACCGTGCAGAGACATCCTGGTCGAAGACACCAAGAGCAATAACCGGAAGGGACGAGAAAAAGACATTATAAAGAGATAGAAACCAGTCGTTGTAGGCAGGTGTCGATGAGAACGTTGTGTATGTTTCATATAAGAAGAGTGTGAAACCGAATGTAATGTTCTTGTAGAAGAAGTAGCAAATCTGTGAGATAGGGAAAACTAGTCAGGCCAAAAGTATTGATTATGTCAAGACTCATGCCACAAAAGGTTGGTCTCAATCTGAAGATGTAGAAATATATTTACCATTGTCGAGATCCGCCTGTAACACCAATGTCCATGGACTAGTAACAAACGTTCCAGATATCTGAATTGAGCAATCGCAATGTCGCTGGACATAACAGCCTGAGAACAATGATCAGGATTAAGCCCACACAAAAAAACAAACACACAACGAAAAGCATCAAATGATAGTTAAAGCAACTAAACTGAACCTGCATTCCTTCCACACCGCTAATACCAACACCTATATCTGCTTCCTGAAGCATCCCAACATCATTTGCACCATCACCAATTGCTAATGTCGTTTTACCGTTTCCAGATTTTACTAGTCTTGTCACCTACATTGCGATTTACATCTTGTGAAAATCTTGACAGCATCAAAAGGCCAATAGTAGACTGAAGAATAAGTAAAACAAAAACTAACCAGGGCTTTCTGTTTTGGTGATGAACGGCAGCAAATGACAGACGCGCAACCAACAGCTAGCTCCAGGAAGATGTGCTTTATATCATCATCCAACGCGTAAGCAAGTGATTTGCCATCAATGATTAAAGCAAAAGCATCAGAGTTCCCACCAGAATACTTTAACTGAGCCTTTCCATTAATTATCTGCGACAAGACATTTTCTTTTGATACCTGCAAGATAAAACTAGCCACATTGATACATTCATATAATATAATCATAAGCTAATACTATTCCGCGAAATATCAATGCTTTGGTTACTTTTTTACCTTTGCAATGACATCTTTTTCTCCGGTTTTTTCTAGTGAATGGATTTCAGGGGTCTCCAAGTTGATTATGATCTGCTTCATGTCTTGTCTGAGCAAACTACAAGCGAATCTGTCAAAGACATACATACAAAGAGTTCATAGAGTGGAAATATTGAAGAAAAACTGTATGTAGGAACATATGAGTAGATAATATATAGGGTGATACCCAGAAATTGATACCCAATATTGATAGCAGTCTCCATTTTATCACCAGTCAAAACCCAAATCTTTATTCCTGCCTGAGCAAGCTTGTCAATGCAATCAGGGACCTGAAAGAAATTATGGATAAAGGGAGAAGATAAAACATTTCAATCTACCAACTATAAATTGATTATATGAATATCATCAGTGGTTTGCTTACTCCATTTTGAAGTTTATCTTCAACAGCAGTAGCTCCAAGAAGAATCAAGTCTTTCTCGATTTTCTCGGTGACTTCCTCTATCAGCGATTCTCGATCAGCACTCACTGAACTCTTGGCTGCACTGATTCTTTCATTGAAAACTTTGTATTCTTTCTCATCAAGTTCACGATATGCAAGTATCAAAGTTCTCAACCCTGCATCAGCATACTCGTTCACATGGTCCCGTGTTTCCGCTTCAAACTCTCTACCATTCTTGGAAAGTCTTTCAAACATAACACTAGAAAACGAAACAAATCGAACAAATAAGTTCAAAATCTATTTGAAAAGGTTTTCTAAAGTCAAAGGTCACTTACTTATCTGCTCCTTTACAAAGTAATAAGAGTTTTCCATCTTCATCCTGCACAACAACTGACATTCTTTTCCTCGTGCTGTTGAACTCAAGAACGTTCAAGACTTTGTACAACCTGAATCACAAAACCATTTCACTCAAGTAAGTTTAAACCGATAAGCTTTTGATAGCATAATACAATAAAGTAGAGGAGATAGACCGACCTTTCAACTCGTTTGCCGCTCACCAGATCGAGCTCTCTTACCGATATGGTAGTTTGAGTTCTGTTAAAAAATTCAAACCCAAGCTCCCTTGCTGCAATAACGAATGCTGCTTCATCGGGCGACTCAGCTTCATAAGAGATCTTCTCTGTATCTTCATCCACTTCAGGTATCACAGTATGACATACCGCAAGTAATCTGAAAAACTTCTGAATGACATCAGCATGAGTTTCAGTGACCCAATTTCCATTCATTATCCTTTCATCTCTAAAGTTGAATCCTTTCACCGTCGATTCTTCAGTAATTGCCTCTTTACTATATTCCATATCATTCTCATCGCTTTGAAACACCAAAGGACCACCTTTTCTCGTCCCCATAGCCATCTCCACCTCTGTAACACCACGACCATAAGCTGTCCCTGCAACAGAACACTTGATGAACTCCATGGAGTTACACGTCAATGTTCCCGTCTTGTCTGAGAGAATTGTATCCACTTGCCCAAGCTCTTCATTCAGGTTAGAGGTTCGCGCACGAGCTGGCTTGTCAGCTTCCTCGTAGTACATGTGAATATCCTGGTTGATGAAGATGCTCTGAAGAACTTTAACAATCTCTATTGAGACATATAAGGATATAGGAATGAAATAACTGTATAGCATAATCGCGGTTAGAAAATGATAGACCGCAGCAACGGGAGCCCTTTTGGGGTCAAAGAAGATCCTGGAGCTATCTGGTCTCAAGTACCATCTCTTCATCACACCATCCTTGAAATCATCTCTTGTTGTAACTCCAAAGATAACAGAACCAATAAATGCCATAGTAACCACCATGAAGAACATTAGGTAGATAATCTTATCCATCTTCTTTTCAATCATGCTTCTCTTAGATGGAGGATCTGTTGAATTCTGAATAACCTTTGTGTCATGACCCGTGAAGATAACCGCTCCAAAGATGAAATCTGTGTTCCTGAGTTTTGAGTCTCTCAGAAGAAGCTGTTGCAGTGAGAGAGGGTATTTGGCTCCCCTAAGCTCCATGGTTCCAACAAAAGAATACAAATTAGCATTTGGATCCTCGCATTTGACAAAAGCCTCAAACCCCTTGAAGTTAAACTCGTCACGCAAGGACGAAGTTACTTCAAGTCCTTGCTTAACTTTAAGATTAGTCTCCCCATCAAGGTTCATCGTCTCTACATAGCAAATAGCATCTTCATAGCTAGAAGAGAGCAACACAAGATCCGCCGGGAAAAACTCGTTCTTCTCTACCTTCACTATATCTCCAATACTCAAAGTCTTCCACTCCTTCGAATCGAAACTCCCATCGCCTCTATGCACTTTAACTTTCCTATTATTCACCTCATTATCCTAAAAACCACATACACAAAAAATCTTCTATATTCAGTTTCAGACCAATGAAACTCAACTATATCTACTAGCTAACAACACATAATCTAATCCAGCTCTAATCACAACCACAAGAACATCATAAAAAAAAGTTACCTGCTTTTGGCGGCGCCAATCTTCAACACCTTCTTTAACCATAGTAGCACCAATAACGAAAAGAAGAGGAACAATAGCACTCGAAGCAGTATAAGGAGCAAGAGGAGTAAAAGCCAAGATCCCAGTAACCAAAAAGTAAAAATTGGCAACTCTCCTAAATTGCTCAAACAGTGATTTAGGTAAAAAAGTAGCAAGAGTATACTTAGTAGTCCTCACATAATTATCACAGTAGTTTCTTGAATCAGCTTCAGGTGAATCAGGTTCATTACAATACACAACACGAGAGAAACCAGGTCCTCCGATTTGAGAATGGTCTTGCTTAAAACATGCTTGAGCACATGTTAGTGTATATAACTTACTTAGTTGTAATCTTCTTCTTCTTCTCTTTGTTCCACCTCCTACCATTGAAAAGATCTTTCACTGTAGAAGAACGGAACCCAAAGTTTGAA